CACATATTATGCATACCATATGTACATGTACCTCAAAATAGTTATTCAAACACTAATCAGTCTTCCTCACTGTTCTCGTGAAAACAAAGCACTCCTTTTTAGGGTTTGGACTCATTTAGCTTTAAACATCAAACCCATAAAATCTTTCTATTCAAACTAGCAATTTCTTGTTTTCAAATGTGAATTCAAGCGTACATATTTACTTTTGATTATAAATTAATGTAATGACAATGTTTTTTGTCCAATATTTGTCATGTTTTGTATGAACCACCTATTAATTGGTCAAATGTATTGATTTGAAATCAGGATGATACTTTTTAGGAGGCTTATCCTGCAAACAATGCATTTGTTACAAGAGCTTTGAGATTGGTCACTGATGCTGGGTGATAAGTCCTGGCTAACAGTCGTCATTCCAAATCATCCCAAAGGTGTTGGATGGGGTCGAGGTCCGGGCTCTGTGCCACACAGTCAAGTTGTTCCACACCAAACTGGGGAAACCATGTGTTTAAGAATCTGGGTTTGTGCAGTGGGGCATTGACATGTTGAAAGAGGAAAGGGAGACAAAACATGTCGACATGTTTGGAGCACATTATCACATGAAGCATCTCTAGGGGCCTGCAGCATTAACCTGAGGGGTTGCAAGATGATTTAAAGGATGGGAAAGGAGACAAAAACCTTTCAAATGTATCTGAACAAAAAAAAGGAAAATTAAAATCACACTTTGGTTTGACTGGTCACAATCACTAGATACACAACTGGTGAAGAGAGTCGCAAGCAGACTTTATTTTAGGGGGTCACAAGCCTAAACATTTGGAAACCACTGCTTTACTGTATATATATAACACTCATATAATCTTTGCTTGTTTAGTGTGAAATGATTTCTTGGGCAGTATCATGACAGAATATGACAGAGTTTTAATTGTTGGTGATTTTAACATGCATGTTTGTTGTCCTTCTAAATTTTTTGATTTTAAACTTGACAAGCAGATAAACACTGTGGTTAAATCCAGTTTTTATCACTTGAGGCTTTTATATAAAATTAAACCTGTTTTATCTTTTGATCTTCTTGAGCATGTGATTCATGCTTTTATCTCGACCCGTTTGGACTACTGTAATGCACTTTACATCGGTGTGAACCAAACCTCCCTCTCACGCCTGCAGTTAGTCCAGAATGCAGCTGCTCGTCTTTTAACAGGAACCCGGAAACACGAACACATTATCCCCATTCTGGCCTCGCTCCACTGGCTCCCTGTACATTTTAGAATACATTTTAAGATTTTAATGTTTGTTTTTAAGTCACTTAATGGGTTGGCACCTCAGTACATCTCTGAGCTCCTGCACACTTAGACCCCGCCAAGGTCACTGAGGTCTGCTGATCAGCTGCGGCTGAACGTGCCCAGGACCAGGCTGAAGACCAGGGGCGATCACTCTTTTTCAGCAGTTGCCCCCAAACTGTGGAATGACTGTCCTCCTCACATTAAAGTGGCGCCCAACCTCCACACCTTTAAATCTCGTTTAAAAACATACTTTGATTCCCTGGCTTTTAATTCACCATGAGAGCTGCTGTGGTCTTCGTTGTCGCTGTCAGTGTTGGTGTTATTTGTTTTGTTTTGTTTTTATTTATCATGAGCATATTTTACATCATCTCTGTAAAGCACTTTGGTAACCTTGTTGTTTTTTTAAATTGTGCTATATAAATAAAGTGGATTGGATAATTTTAAGTTGTCATGAGTTTAAATAGTTGGGAAGTACTAATCTAAGGCACAGTACACAAAAGTGTCCACATACTATTGACTTTAAACACGGGTTGTAGTTTAAACCATAGTTTCTGGTGGGCATCAGCATGAGATCAGTCGTGGCTCCTCAGAGTCGTCTTTATCTGCCAGTTTTATGAAACATGACTTGGTGTTTGTGTGGGTGCAGAAAAAAAAGGCTCTGACAGATTCTGATCAATGCCAACATACAGAAAATGCCACGGCACTGGCATTCATGTGCATACAGGCAGAGTTTAACTCAATCTAAAACCAACGTCAGCACACTGTATGCAATTAAAATCTGAGCCAGAGGGAACAGTTGATGCAAATAAAGCACATTTGCAACACATTGCCAGTTCCACATCTCCTGCTGGCCACATACTCCCCCACGCTTCACACTTGAAAACACACCCAGGTTCACACTTGCAAACAAAGTATTCCCTTTTGGTGTTCAGGCTACTGTCTGCATTTGTTAACACACCCTGAGTGTCACATGCATATCATAGCCTCAAGGGTAGGTGGCCACTCGATTAAACATTTAGCTTCTACTTTAGGGGCTGCAGGAAATTTCATTCACACACCTCTGGCTCTGTTTGCACCCCCGAGCCAGCCTAGGAGTGGAGAGCTCTCTTTGAATTGCTTCTTTCAAAGTTTTTTTTACCCATATTCCTTGGGGTGGATCTGTAATGTAGCTTATCTGTAAATTCTTTTAAAATATAGTATTTGATATTGGACAAAACAAATAAACTTGACTTTAGTTTTTGAGTATTTTTCATGAACCTTGCAACCAGTTTAAAATATGATTGACAAAATGTAATATATTTTAAGTGGCTCAGAAGAGGTGAGGTTTCTGCTTCAATATTTTATAAGCCATATGACTTATGAATGTTATCAGTTCTTTTCACTTATATGCAGGTGTGTGATAAGGCAAAAACAGAGAGGACAATCAAGTACAAAATAAATCAACTGTCACTAGAAAATGAACGTCCATGCAATAAAACTTTACTGAGATATACTTCACAATGTACATTAAAATAAGGGAACATATATCCCTGATGGTATATTTACACTGTATTGGTATTGTTCATAATCACTTTATGTACATATATATATTCCACAGGGACCCAAGTGATACATAATCCTGGCTCAACAATGTTCTGTTGAAAAAAACAGTTCAGTTCCCATGCAGCCAGTTTTACAACAGTCTTGCTTCATATATTCATACACTCCTGACTTTAGAATTGTGTAAGGGACTAACTGTGGAATTTAAATAGTAGTAAAATAGTGGGACAACAGTCCCATTAAGTGCCTCTGACTAGGACTGTGTCATCTAGCTTGAACCAAACAAAGAAAGGTTTATAAAAAGAACTATACAGTATATAATATGTGGTATGTTCATTTTCTATGTGTAGAATAAAGGCTCCACATTTTTAAGGATGAGTTTTCTGTGTTTAAATAATTCAATCCACATACGTGGAGTGTGTATTTGGCCGAGCTCTGCCAGGACAGTCAAAGAAAAAAACCTTAATCAAGAAGAAGGCAGTGAAACAATGCAACATGACCTAGCCAGCTGTAACAGTTATATACTTCATAAGTTAGAAATAATGTTTGAAACGCCTAAATAAAATACATCAAGGTCACTTTTTAGGGTTTCATACTGATGGGGCAAAAATCAACACCATAAAGATATTCTGCATTTGTAAATTAAAGCGCAGCTACACATGTTCATAATTTCTTATGCTAATAAAAATGCTAACGTTAGCTAGCTGTTGTTTGCTGTTTGACCGTAAACATACGAATAAAATCACCAATTTGGATTGAAACAGCTAATTGGCAAATTCAACGGTATTCAAAAGGGATAAATTGACCGAGGCAGAATCAAGTTTTCGTGGAGTAGCAACAACCATTGGGTATAAATTAAATGGTAACAGGACGTTTGGGGGGGACGATCATTTCTGTAACACCGCACCGGGTTCATCATGAGAACATCCGGGTCATTCTTCGAAAATGATGCAAGCTTCTACGTCATCCTGGTAACAAGAGCTACGCCTTTAGCAAACTGTGACATACATCAGAGTTAAAATTGATAATTACACAGAGAACTGATAAAAAGTAATGAAACAGTCAAGTATGGAGAAATCTTTACCCAACTTTCAGTCTGATACAGCATATTTCTCTGTTTCAGTAAGCTATAAAGCTTATTGAGATACATTGAACGTATCTAAGATAAATATGCTGAAAGGACTAACTTTTAGACAAATTAATGAAGACTGGGAGTCTCAAGAGGGAACAAATGATTGCTTTTATGAAAATATGACTTGACTGAAATGAGTACTGAGTATAATGCACATGTTCTGCAAATAGTTGTATTATTTTTCTTTATTCTTTTTAATATTCTCATATAACTTGCATTGTCTATTCAATTTATATATTTCTACATTTATTTATGTCAACTGATTGATTTTCAACGTGTAGCACCTCATCACCAAAGCAAATTCCTCATATGTGTGAAACACTATTTGGCAATAAATCTTCTTCTTCTGTACATGTGTAGTACATTACCCCACTATTGCTTTGATTAAGAATTGTTACTCAAAATGTTTCTCACTTTTTACTGTTATTTTGCTTTCATAATCATTTGCTATTTTGAGATCACTGCTAAAATGTAGTTTCTTGCACCATCTTGTGGCTGCAGAGAAGAATTTAGTATGAGCCCCCTATGATGGGAGTATTTATAGCCAATTGTGTTTAAAATGCAGTGAAAAAGTGAAGTAAATTCAGGTGCTGTGGTGTTAAAAACTCCACATGTGGTTTATGAATGTATACCAGTGGACTCTAGACTGAACACAATCTGTGACTTCACCCAAATCCATGTACATTTACTCAGTGTTAAGGTAATGAAACCCTGTATTTCCAAATTTAGTAAATCTGAAGTGTCCCTTTGAGCTAATAATAATTTGTCCTATATCTTGATAAATAAATTTAAACCCCCTTGATCAGCTGGAAAATCATAAAGGTGCAAACAGTTCCGTTTCTCATGAAAAGTTGACTTTTCAGCAGACACTTCAAACATAGGATAATCTTATATGATGCATTGCTGTAGAATAAACTCCTCAAACAGCATTTTGACAGTTGTGTTGAGTAGATTTACAGATTTTTTTTGATATGATGACAAAATGTGAAGGTATGTGGTATCTGAGGGTACACACACAAAAATGCGACAAATGACTTCACTCAGACACCAGATTTGTTTTACTTAAAAACAAAAGTTTATTTTCACAACATACAAAGTCGAGCATAAACATTTTACATATTTGTGCAACATTGCAAATTTTCTAAGCACGGAGAAAGCAAATGATTGCATCTTCACAGTGAAAGTGCACTTTGACATACATAGTTCATCGTTTGTACTTTCTATATAATTATTGTAATTGAACAACAAAACAGGCTTCTTGATGAGACATTTAAACTCAAACAATTCAAACACTGCAAATCCACATTTCTTACAAAGACTAAGTCATTGTTCATGACCACCAAAATATTCTGGTAGTGGAAGGTGCTTTGGTTTTCTAGATGAAACTAAAGAACCATAGCGTTCTAAAGACTGGATAAAACCATGTCCTTGAAATATTTTGCAAATTATTGGCACTGTTATGAAATACAAGGCTTTTGGTGTAGAAAAGTGCTTCTTTTGGCCCAACTGGACAGTTTAAAAGTGGTCAGAAAACACAACACTTGTAAACACAGCAGTAAAAGGTCTGTGGGTAATACTTCTACTCTGTAGTCATTAAATATTGGGTCCCATATTGTTCACAGTTCTAGAAAAACATGAAATAAGTCTATCCTGAGTCAATGTGTAGTCTATGTACTACACAATGCAAATATCACCGTTTATAATGTAAAAGTTACAAGAGTTGTCCATTTAACTATGCTTCAAAGACATTTAACAACAGTAACAAAACTAGAGTTAAAGTATTCACAATTTCCTGATTGGTAAAGGCAGTGAATATGCAGCAGATGTTGATTCATGTGTAAATTGTCTACTTTTATGTGAACATCCATCTGCAGTTCTCGTAACACTGCTTACTCAGTCTGGGAACCTGCAAGCTCATGTTTTATTGTATTTATTTGCTCTGGCAGATGAGTCTGGTCCCCCTCCCGTTCAGATTTCCAGCCAACCTGACCCCGTCTCCAGCCAATCACAATGTTTATCTAATGGATGAGCGCAGCACATCCAAGTACTTTGCCCGTGTGTCAGGCCCCACCCCTTTTTGGATGAAAGCAGTAGCAATATATGGTAAACTTAATCATATTTCTAAGAAAATCTATGAAAAGCTGGGGTAGGCAATGCTGGAGAAACTAGCAAGATCCAGCCAGATTTTCTGTGACAGCCACAGATACCTGATTTGTGTCAGAGCATTTGATTTATTGATAGCCGTCAGGATGTAAAGAGAATTTCAACAAATAACCAAAAAAAGCTTCTGAAATAAATTGCCAACCCCAGCTTTAACTTTAAAGAAGAAGTTATTTTTTGTTTAAACGCTCGCCTGAGTATAATCTCTCCAAGTACATACATATTATATAGAAACTCCGCAAACACTTGAAATGATTCTTGATGCTAAATGTAGTATTCACACTAAAGTGTGAATACTACATTAACCTCTAAATCTCCTTTTTCTGTACACTGCTGAACTGCTAACTACCAGGGGCCAAAATTAAATTCTCTCCACCGGTCAAATGACTAGTGAATGATACTCAAAATAGATTGATGTTCTCATCTGGTGAGTGAAGCAATTTTACCAGCATTTGGCTGGTAGCTGGTGCCCTTTTTGTACCCTGCTAACTACTAAAGCTGTGCTACATCAGGCATTTGTCTGCATGCTTATGTTCTATGTGGAGATGGACGCGCTCCTTTTCTCAGCATCTCTCTCTTCCTCTGTGATGGCCCACGGCTGGATCTTCCCGCTGCCAAATACGGTGTAGACTAGACCGCCGAAGACGTTGATCCCGGCTGCCACCCAGAACACCTTTCTCCAGCCTGCCAGGGTGTGCTGACAGCCAGAGAAGAGGAAATCAGTACTGAATTACTTGAATCTCTATGTACAGTATATATTTTTGTGCATCTAACTAAATGGTGTTTGTTGGTATAACTCTGAATGTGTCGACTTTAAATATTATAATGTTTCTGTAATGTTATAATATCTTTCTATACACTTTGTGTGTAGCACCAAGAGGGCTGCCGCTGCATGTCATTGTGCAATCCTACATTGTGTAATGACAAAAGCTGAACCTTGAACTGACCACACCATTTTGTTCGTGGGAAAAAGGCTTTAAGATGAATTACAGATCAGGTTGTTGCATTTGAACCCGAGGGCTAATGCTCACATCTCGTTGCGGAATAATAATCCTCCAACAACCACCAACACCACTACCTCAAGTATCTTTACATACACCTTCCAAGAGTTGGGGGAACTCACCAGCCCAGAGCTAGTGTTGCTGACGAGTGGTAGGTTTAATACAAACATGGGTTCTTGTTCATTTATGGTCTGTGATGCCAGGAATTGGGATCAGAGTTTACTTGTGCTTATGGAAAAAAAAAAAAAAACACTATTTTAAAAAGAAGGTCAAATTATGTCTTTTTGGAAATTTATTTATTATAATTTGTGTACAGTTCTTAGAAATATTCTTTGCAGTGTGACTTGAGTGCTTCTCTAACTAATTGTTATTTATTGTTTTGGTTGGTAGTATTATGTTGCCATGTCAACTCCCGCATCTTTACAATCCACATCCAGGACCAAAATAGAAATGTCTTTTAAATGTTAGTCTTATTGTCATTTTGTGGATTAGTGTAATTTGATATCTTCCTTCTCATAATTAACTCCACTTTAAAATTTTTCACAGGCTTTTCTCTGGCAAAAACAAAACTGACCTTATTTCTTGCATAAAACTAAAAATATCAGCCCATATCAGTTAAACAAATTATGTGCTATACGCAAGTGAAACAGTGCTCCAAATGTCTTGTCACATATAGTGGTAATTAATGTGACAGAACTCGAATCTTTAATTTTTCGATACTTACATCCCCAGTAAAGTATCCTGTAGCTATCGGTGCCACGATTCCAGGAATGGTGCCAAATGTGTTGGTGATTCCCAGAAGGAATCCTGCATACCTACAGGTGTGAGAAAGAAAATATTCTTCATGGTTTCTTTAAAAATACAGTGAAAGGAGGGGAAAAGTGAGTAAAGTATTAGCTTCTGGGAAATTGAAATGGCCACATGCAGGATCTAATCCTGAAAAAGGCTGTATTTGTGAGTAGACAAAGGGTGTGGACGGTTAACACCCACCGAGGAGCGATGTCTATTTGGTTGATGAAGACTCCAGAGGCACTGAAGCCTCCTATGGTTGTGGAGAGTGTGAGGAAGGTGACGGCGGGGATGTGGCTACAGCCGGCGTAACTCACAGCCACGAGGAAAGCTGCACATGGCAACAGACCTGCAGAGAGGAGGCAGAAGGGTGGAGACGTTTCAAAAAAGGAAATCCCGGTACACTGTGCGTCTCAATATTTGTAACACTAAGACATAAAAACCTTTGACTGCCATGAGATTTCTTCTTTTCACTGGAGGTTATATTTGGATGTGTGTCTTTTCAATACAACAAACTGAATCCACACCAGATGAGGGCAGCATTACTCCATTCAAAACCAGAAGGTGCGGTTGAGATGACTGCGGCTGACTTCCGCCGACTTGATAGTCTAATGTAAGCTGCAGGGATCTGTCAAGTCGGACACATTCTACCTGCATGAGCTTACTGTGAGCCGAGATCAATGACTGATCTCACGGCATTTGCAAAGAAAAATGCAGCGAGATCAGGAGAAAAGCAACTGCGGCCGCCGGACTTGGCGCCTGCAGCCGCCTTGCTCCTGTGAGGTTTTAATGTCATGTGACATTGTGACGTTTTGCAGCGCTGGTGAAAGTCGGACACAGGTTTTTATCTGTTGTGTTCACCTTCCTCATGCTCAGCAGGTAGACAGTGGGCGTGTCCTTGGACTTCCTCTGTTGCTTAGTCACCTGACTACAATCACCACTCATACACCTGTTACTCATCTAGCTGGTGCTTTTATCCAATGGGACTTACAATTGACATTTATGTCAGAGGTCGCATGCCTCTGGAGCAACTAGGGGTTAGGCGTCTTGCTCAGGGACACGGTGGATTGTTGTGTCATATTTGGAATCAAATGTGCATCTCCCACACCAACAGCACGTCTTATCCACTGCTTCATCACCTCCCCTTGCCAAATCACCTTAGCCTACTTAAGATCAGACCAGCCTTCAAGTCCCTGCTGAACTGTTGTCAGTGTGCTCGCACACCAGCCTGCTGGATGTTAGACCCGTCTGCAACACTCACTGGAATCTCCAGGTCTGCAGGAAACGCTCGCACCAAACCACGGGAAAAACCCAGCTCACTCTGCCAGTTGGCACTCCACTGGAGCGCTTCCTGAGTCACCAGCCTGACTTGCTTGTCTGCCACACTCATGTCGTGTTCCAGACTGGTCGGAACGGGAAAATTTTCAAGTTGAAATATCAGACTTCCAACCTCAAAGTGTTTCAGGTGCATGATGCTAAATGTAAACATGGCTGACTATGACAAACTTAAGTTTCTGCACAGTTAAACCCTCAGCAGCGCACTTGTTTTTAATAAAATGGCCATTCTTTTAATTACCACCAAGTGATAATATAAGTCACTCGTTAACTGTATCTACATCAGTTGGTCATCCTCAAAAGTCAGCAAAAGTTGAAGCTATATTTCCACATTTCTGAGCATTTTTAACATTTTCCTGAATAACTTTTGGGTAGAGAAGATGACTTTATCCAGCTACCTAATAACACTGACAATATATTTCTACATCAATTTACATGCAGAATGAGTTTCACCATTTGATACTAGTACACACACACACACACACACACACACACACTAATGTAATACTTAACTTTGCCTTTTCGTTTATGGTTTACCATTTACAATGTGTGCTTCCATGGAAGCCGCCATTATCGAGTGACGTCATTCGGCTGCTACTCATGAAGTCGGGGTACATATGTTTTCTCCAAGTTCACAAGTAGGAAATCCGACTTCAAGTGGCGCTGGTACTTTTTTCTAGTTGGAGGTCAGAAATATCCCATTGGCCTGGAACGCAGCATCAGCCCAGGGTTTCTAATCCAAAACCAGCTCCACTCACCTGCCACCCACTCTGTGCCAAAGTACTGTTGTTGCTAATGAATAACTTTATTCTGTCTCTGGCCTGCTTTTAAGTTACTAGTCTGAAGAAGGACAGCAATTTAAATGTTAACTTGCCTTCATGTTTGGAGTAAATAATAAAAAAATTTAAAAAAAGCATTTTATCTTTCAGAAGGTTAAATTATTGATATGACTAAAAGTCTTAACTACTCCATCCATGGCTAAGCATTAAATATAAGTTTACATGTTTTACTTCTGGCCACTACAGTAGATAAATGTAGTAACCTCCAAAACCTACAATATTCCTGTCAAAAAATACTTGGGGGGGTTTACTTGTTTACTTTTATTTAAGTGAAAGACTTGAACGCAGGACTTTTAACTGTAACAGGCTATTTCTACACTGTGGTATCTCTACTTTCACTTCAATAAAATATCAGAGTACTTCTTCCTCCCCTCTGAGTGCCTTCACCTTCTACTATATTAATACTGAATCCTGTGTATCCCCTCTCCTGTGAGGCTCATCCAGACACAAGAGCAATCATGCATGCAAAAGTTGTACGCAAGGATGCATCCACATGTACGTAAATGTGACACAGTACACAAAGAGGATCTGAGTGTAAAAGCTCCCTTACCTGCGAGTGTAAACAGTTTGCGTACAACGGTGACGCTGAACACCTTCCTCTCAATGAGGTAGTCTGCTAGGACACCAGACAGCGTCGAGACCAACCAAGCACCGAGGTACGGCAGAGCGGAGAGCAAACCATTCTGGACACAGATTTCTTCAGTTATTGTATATTCAGTGAAGGATTTGATGACTGGCGGTTGCTTGTCGAGTTTTGAGAGATGTAAGTAAACATTACAGTGTCCTGTTCATAAACAGCATATATGTGATGAGAAAACAGACAACAAAATCATTTATCACCATAGAGAAGTTCAAAGAAAAAGTTCAACACTTGGGAAAACATGCTTGCCTTGTCATGTCTTTCAAATGATAGATGGGCAGCATTCTCATGTCTATGTATGAGATATAAACCTACAGCCGGCAGCTGGCTAGCTGAAGAGGAAACAGCTAGCCGGGCTCTGTTCACAGAAACTACATAACTGCACTTTAAAAAGGTTACCGATTTATCGGTTTAAAGCAAATAAGATTATTTTTTCCCAGTGCTGCTGATATTAGCTAGAATTATTTAAAATTGAATGTGATTGTAGTTCACATTATATGCACTGCTGATTTATACTTTAAAATACCTTAATGTCACTGTTGGAAAATTTTCAGGTAAGGAACCACAAATACAATGTTTCGTTCCTAGTTCATTACACAACACCTTCACAAGGAAAGCAGATAGTTTAAAACAGCAAGTCATTTTATCATATCAATAATTTTAGTCTGTTCTACCACTCACCTACATGAACCTGAAACACATGGACAGATGTAAATAAAGATTAAGTCCCATTTTACAAAAGCTGCTAAATTTTTCTCAGTTTTTACTTTTGGAACAATGCTACTGTTCTTCAATCACATGAGATAAAAGTAGGCTAAAGTGGTAAACACTGAAGCAAATGAAAATGATTCTTCATATGTGTTCTCACCGAACGACAACCCAACTCCCTAAGCATCTGGAGTATTATAAGCTGTTACTAAAAACATTAGAGGCCTCTGTTCTGTTCCCAGCAAGTACAGACAGTGAGTCAACTCGCACAATACCAGGACCCTGAAACTGAAGGAGGCAATTCAGCAATGAATTTATGATTACGGTCTGCTTTTAATGATCATTTTTCACATAGAAAACAGAGGAACAAATAAATCGAAACTCACCGACTGGATGTCAAAGTGCATGATGTTATTCATGTAGGTGGGCAGGGAGGTGAGCAGGGTGTAGTAGGACCAGTTTGAGCACATCTGGGTGACGATGATGGCCCACAGAGGGGCCGACAGCAGCATGGAGAGCACAGGCACGAACCAGCCATGACCTGTACCCTGCAGATTCAGTTCAGATTAATGATAAAATCTTTAGAAAAATACTACATAAATGACAAAAAAAGCCCATACAAGGAGAAATCATTATTTATGATACAATAACTTTATTACAGATTTGAACAGGTTTCACGCGTTAATGAGAATGTACACGTTTGTGAGTTGCATATGGGTATATGAGTGTAATTTTACACTCATATACCCATATGCAACTCACAAAGTATGATCTTTACTGATAAGCTGTTGATATTTTTGGCATTTTGTACATTCCTGTGTGATGAATGTTCATAAGCTTTTTGTTAAATTTTAAGTTCAAGAAAAGCCAATTCTGTTACATACTTTTGTTCTTAACAAAACAGACCAGCAGCTGAGGGGAAGAGAAAGTCACAAATACAGAACAATATACGAAATGGAAACAGGAAGTTACTAAACAGCAAGAGGTAAAACTCCCCAATATTCACTTTTGGTGGGAGAGACATCTCAGTTTCAATACATCCCAAACTCCCTTGCTGACCTATAGCTGGACTAGAGTGTTTGGTATGGAGCTTCCATAACAATGACAGTACAGGGAAACTTTCCACAAATTAGTATTTGTTTTATGTATTTATATCCAAGATTTTAAGCTGTACTACGCCAGACTTTTCTATCTTGGCAACGACAAGGAGTGGCACAAAAGCAGACCATCTCATTCACACAAATTACTAAGAAGCTATTTGCTACAATGATTTTTATCTTCTTCTGGGTCCTCTCGTTCTTTGGAAATCACAACTACCTAATGTTTTTTGACCAGCAATACAGAAAATGTCATAAGGTGTTTGTAAATGTTTTATGTGCACCTGAGAGCCAATGGAGTTTATGATGTAATCTCTCTCCTCTTTGCTGATTCGACGATGGGTACGAGGGTCATCAGATACAAAGATAAACCAAAAGAATGCCCAGAGGCAACCAGCACTCCCTGGAAGAGAAGCAGAGAAAATACAATACTTATCAGAATATCTTAAAATAGTTTGCTATACATGTGTAATGCTGTGGTAGTCAAGTAAAATCCTGTTGTCTTAAATCAAAAATCTTTGAAACAACTACAGACTGTTCAGAACTCAACTGCCCGGCTTTACACCAGAAGCAAGAGGTACAATCACATGACACCTGTTTTAGCCTCCTTACATTAGCTCCCCGTTTGTTTTAGGATTGCTTTTAAGGGTCTCTATGACCTGGCTCCAGATTATAGTTTGGATTTTTTATTTAATTATAATCCTTTTTGTAGTTTTGAATCTCAGAGCTGGGGTGTCCTGTGTCTGGAGTCCAGGCTGAAAGTTACAGGGGGACAGAGCTTTTGCAGTCAGGGCCCCGAGGCGCTGGAATGATTTGCCCGAGGAAGTTAGGCTGTCTAAGTCGGTTCTTTGAAGTCTTTTTAAAACGCACTTTTATTGGAAAGCAATGATAAGTGCCTTTTAAGTAACAGTTATCATCATTATAGTGCACATACTGCAAAATTAAGTGCAAGTATAAGTTGTGGTGCAGTTATGGATCAGATAATTAAAAGATAATGAAAGGTATGAGTCCAGGGGGGACAGTGTTTGTATTAGTCTCCTAGGAGGAATGTTTAAAATTTTAATTGTGCACCTCCTGCTCACCATTGTGGCAGCATGCATCGGCCTGGCATCTTCCCAGTGACAGACTAAGGTATGCCATGATCTATAAGAGTATGTGTGTGCGCGCGTTTCACCTAACTCACCACAGAGGTAGAAAACAGCGGGCCAGCCCAAGGTTTGGCAGATGTAGCCGGTGAGCGGTAGAGCCACAAAGGCCCCAAAGTTGCCCCCACATCCTGAGAGGGTCATTAGGCGAGAGCGCTCCAGAGGAGGTGCCCATCGAGCCCACATCGCCATCATGGCTGGGAACGTCACACCCTGGAGATAAAACATAGAGGCAATCCAAGGTTTGAAATCTTTCTTCTACGATACTACTTCTGGGATGTAAAATAGAGCTGAAATTATTCATTTATTTGTTGATTGACTAAATTAATTGGCAACTATTTTAAGAATCAAAAACTCATTCCTGTTGAGTTGACAAGTAAAATGGACCAAATAATTAATCATGCAAATAGTAAGTTGCAGCTCTACTGTATTGTGGTGGTGGCGCAATGGCTAAGACGCCTGCCTTTGGTGTGAGACCAGGGCTCAATCCCCTACTGTGACCATTGTGTCCCTGAGCAAGACACTTAACTCCTTGTTGCGCCAGAGGCGTGCGACCTTTGAGATGTATAGCAATTGTAGGTCGCTTTGGATAAAAGCGTCAGCTAAGTGAACACACACACACACACACACACACACACACACACAGAGAGCAGTGTCCTGCTGAACACTAGTACCTCTCCAAAGCCCTCCAATGCTCGTAGTGCAAACAGCCAGTAGGACCCCTGCTGGGCAGCCAGAGGGGTGAGCAGGGTGAGGACAGCCGTACCCAGGACACCCAAACCCAGGAACAACTTCCCCCCGTAGTGACCGGACAGGTAGCCCCCTGGGATCTGTGTGCACAGGTAGCCGAAGAAGAAGGCTCCCAGCAGCCAGCCCTGAGTCTCCGAGTCCCACGGGTACTGCGGGGTCTGAGACAAGAGGACGGAGAGGAGGAAGAATTTATGGTTGTTGTTTAGTTTAATATTTTGAATAAAGTTTGTCTGTTTTGATAGTGGCAAAGACGAGTCTCCAAACCTGCCAAGATGTTCTCATGCACCAATTCACCAGTATAGTTCTATTGTATAAGTCTATACATATAATTATTTTTTACCTTTTTATTTATATTTTTCTGTACTCATTTCCGTCCTTGTACTGCTGTAAAATCTCAATCTGCATCTCAGAAAATTAAGATTTTACCACAGAAATTTAATTTGACACCTATATGATACAGCTATTGCTATTAACACTTGTACTGGTGATACCAGCACTCATACCACTGCCTGACGTAGTAGGACCATCACAGCCACAAATACTATTACCCATAGTGCTTCAGGTATTCCTTGTTGACACCCAGAATCAGAAAAACTGGTTGCTGGGATATACACTCTAAATTTCTTGAGAAATGTGCTTGTTTGTAGTTTTATATTCTTATTTTATATACTTTTATTTATTGTTAACTTCTCTGTATTTGTGTACTTATTTCTGTTATAGTGCTGCTGCAACACCTGGATTTCCTCTCAACAACAGCTTATCTTAATGTTTTGTTTTAAACTACACACGTGTTGTAATATGTTTAAGAAATAGCGTAAGGAAAAAAATGATTACCCCCTCAGGTTGTTGGAAAGTATCACTGGTGTTTTCCATCCCTGGTGGCAGTGGACATGCATGAATGACAGAAGTGTTCTGGGCTGGTTTGGGGTCAGTGGTATTCACCATGGCTACCAATGCAACACTGAGGTTCACACGAAGGCCGTAGACAACAGTGAAGCCAAAGAACATCAGGACGGCCAGGTTGAGGCGAGCCGAGCAGCACTGGGGAGGCACTGTTTACAGAGAATGCAATGATATTTACATGTAGTCTGGTTTGGGAGCATTGTGAAAACCATCTATTTGGTTATTTTCACAAACTTAAAATTAGTTTATGGGTTGAGAAATTTATTCTAAGCTAAAAATAAATTTTAAAACACATTGACACAAATTAGAAAACACAGCTGTTTGAAAAGTTGATGTTCGTGACAAAGATTGATTAGACAAATGACGTACAAAATTACCACTTGGTACATGATTGTTTTAAATTTTGAATGATATCCAACTTCACTCTCTTACTCTCAATGTTCAGCTATGTTTCACCCTCTTGTTTAAAAAGCCCAAGCTATAGTTGCATTAATTGGTATATAATATATAAAAATAAAATTTAATCACATTCAGACAAAAGCTTGGGACAATTAATGTTAGCTAATATTATTTGCAATCAACTCATCTACAGTAACATCTGAAATGTAATGCACAATCAGTATTCATCCATCTATATAGTACATTACCAAAAAAAAAAAAAAAAGTGTAAATGTATTCCTGATATAACTGACTATACAGGCCCAATTAAGTACTTAATCAGATTCAAAAGCTTAAACTGTTGGTCTGACATTAAAGCTGCCCTTTATACTACCAGTGCAGTTTTGACCCTTTGCATGCACAATGGAAGCTGGTGAAGTTGTGCAATAAAAAAAAAAAACAACCCAAAACCATTTACATTTTAACTGCTTAATGCGCATTTAAAATCTAAATAAATTTGGAAATGGCACAAACATTTAATTATGCATGTAAAATTGCAATCCATGCAGCAGATATTTGATGTAGCATGTGATTTCACTGCACCATCAGTTTAGCTGTAGCCATCTGATCGTCAGCTACCTCATTAAGATCTTCCGTAACAGATGATCTCTAACCATTAAGGTGCTCGTGTATATGACTGCTACAACTACATAGACCGTTAAATAAACCAGAGAGACACACACCTGTGACAGTTCTCTAACCATGGAGCTAAAGTACAAAATAACACAGTAAGGTAGTATTACTACAAATACTACCTTTGTTGTGTCTTTATGTTCATAATTACATCCAACAATACAGAAAAACATCGAAATGAGGCAAAACTGTAGGAGAATTGCAGAAAATGCACATTGTACAAAATTAAGTAAGCAGAAAAGGAAAACAATGAAGGAATAAGATTAATTTGCTGCATATGCAAGTTCTCAGGTAATTTAAGCATAATTAATGTTTGATGTCATGTTGGCAGTGAGAATGTCTTTGTTTGCATCAGAGGTTATGTTAAAGATATACACAGCTGCAATGCTTAGCTGATCAATCTGTTAGTTGATAGACAATCGTCAGCTATTTTGATAATTGATGGTCTTTTTTTTCCTTTTTTTTTTTTTTTAAGTACAAAATCCAAACAATGACGTTAATGAATAATGTTTTTAGGTTTTAGACTAAAAATCTGCCTGTTGGTGAAGAACTTTCATAGTTTTCCTGAGTTTATACAATTAAAATAAGCAGATTCACTGATTATAAAAATATCAGTGAGTCTTAAATATAAATACAAATGAATGAATATGGAAATTGTTTGGAGAAATCTGGCATGCAGCAAGTCCAAAATCTTAATTGAATACCTTTTACCAGCTACAAAGTGAAACACACCTGCATCATTCTTAATGAGAGGTTCCCTGTCCTCACTCTCGTGCGAAGCAGCTGAGTTGATGGAGTAGCCATTTGGTAGCGGCATGGTACTCGGCTGGCCAGGAAATACTAAGTCAGTAAAATGATGTCACTCAGCCATGGTGTCAGGAAACCTGCTGGACAGGCAGAAATAGTAATTATAAGCCAGGCACACACAAACAGAGACACACATGGGGGATGTGAGACAAACATGTGACAAGCAAGAAAATATCAGAAGACAAGTCAGGTGACACATCAGCAGATTTTAATTAAAAAACACATTAGCAAGCAGGTTTTTACAAAACCTTCTGGACCTACTTTGTTGGTGGGGACATCTCGCTGAAAAAAATGCATCCCTGGACCCTTATTCTAACTTTAACCCAATTATAACCTGAACCCTAAAACCAAATCTTATCCCTCAAACCGCCCTTTATACTTGTGGGGTCCAGCATTTTGGTCGCCACAAAGATAGGTAGCTAGCGTGCGCACACACACTTACAAGAGTTATTGATGCTCAGATTCACAACACTGCAAAGCCTGTTAGTAAGATGATGAAGATGAAACTGAGTGAGTTTGTCTCTTCACCTTACTGAACCTGTGAACAAGAAATACAAAGGTAATATACACAGAGGTTTTATTGTCGTGTAAAAACTTTGATCTTCAAAAACATTTCAGCAACAATGAAAACCACCTGGATACACATCTTTCCGAGCTGTCCAGCATGAAAAGATTTCATTTAACCAAATGTCTTCTTGAAACATGAACCACCAAGCAAAAGACAACGTGAAAAATAATAATAATAAAATAATAATAAAAATAGTATGGAAATATGTGAGAAGGTGTGGGTAAAAGCCAGCACTTTGAAAAATACATTTGTACCTGGCTCCTGAGTAAACTTCTGACCATTTAACACATGAGCATGTGCATTCCTCAAGCAAGGCATTCCTGATGGTCCCAGAGACTATTCCTAAGACTACTGGTAATTAACCTTGCTGTTAGGGCCCCAAACTGTGGTGTGACCTTCCTGAAGAGCGTGACATATCATGTTATTTGTAACACATGAGGCAATCCCTAACTATTGTGCTATGTGGCATCCATGTCAATACATTTAAAAGGTTTGTATGCATGACAAAGAATAGACCATTTGCCATACCATGTGATCCATGTCTGCAAGTGTGTCTGTGCAACTATACGTTTGTGAGCCCATCATGAGATGCTCAGAAAAACAGTCCAATTCACTTCTCCTTTCTGAAACAATTAATGCATCATGACATTTTATTGCCGGTTTCTGCTTCCTGTTATTTAAAAAAGGTCAAAGATGAGGTGAAGTGCCATCACAAGTTACCACAGCCCAAAGTAATGTTTTTAAATATGTTATTTTGTCAAACAAACAGCATGAAGAAAAAAAACATAGTATTCCATTTATAATGAAAGGAAACATTTTGACTGCAATATGAATTGCATAATTATTCTCATCTTCACTGAAAAACATTTAAATGATTACAGTGATTTTTTTGCAAGGATCTGTACCAAATATAGATGTTTCCTTAAGCCTCTAGAATATGATGTGCAGACGAGGAAATCTCTGCAGCACCTCATTATTCAATTTAAAAAATTGTATTTTGACACATAGTTTGTTTTTAACAAATATTACACCTCCTGCGATTTGAAAATTGCAGAAAGCCATAATGCGATTTGATTAACAGTTCAGGTTAATTTTAAGCTAGTTAAAATCTTAAATTATCTGAGAATGTAATAGGGTCTGTTATGTGACAAGTTTCAGACATGTACAGATACATAAGAAGAAAACAATAAAATAAACCAACATGTCACCGAATGTTAGCATAAGACCACACAGGACTTGGAAAGGTAACTTGAATTCTAGCTAAGTTAGGTTTTAAGTATTACTCATAACGTTAGCTAGTTAGTGAACTAACCTTGCTATAACGTTCTTCAAATAAAGTTACAGCTTACCTTGAGAAGGGGTTCAAACAACAAAATACTCTTGGTTAAGACAGCCTGGTGTGTTGTACTGAACGGACATAACATTTTTCTACGAGAGAAAAACAAGTCACATGAGCACCGATGAGCACATCAGTTTCAGGGAGACGCCGGTTTCTACAAAACATTAGCTACGCACAGTGAAGCTAGCTTTTATAGTTTACAGTCGAAATGGAGGAAGTGACGTTACAAGTGCGACACAAAACATCTGTTACCCATCAGATTATGTGACCCAAATGGGAAATGAAGACCTCGGGGCTTTCAAACACGTTGTTGATGTTTTGAAGCTGTCGCAGTTTGGTTAGGTTTAGAAAAGGATTGGTTTGGGTTCAAACACAGAATCTGATGGCTCACGGAATGTGGTGCAACACCGGTGTTGGGGTTCACAGAATCTGATGGCTCACGGAATGTGGTGCAACACCGGTGTTTGGGTTCACAGAATCTGATGGGTCACAGGTTTTGGTGTTACACCGGATATGACCATCAGTTCAAATCAGGGCCGTAGTAACGTTTTTTTTTTTTAAATCAAAAACACAAAATATTCTTTTTATGGCTTCCTCCAAGCCGTGAAAAGTTTCTTTAACTGATTTAAACTAGTTGGGAATAAAATAATTTTCCGCATATTTACGGCCGTTTTAATGTGTTGTTATGGCAACGAAACCACCTCCCGTGTGTTCTGGACGATAACGTTAGCAAACATAAAACCCGGTTGTCAAAGAGTTGGAGTTTATTAACTTGTTACACTTTTAGGCACCTGTAAATTATTCAACTACCGTCGCATTCATGGCTCATTACAGAGTAAGTATTTGGTTACAGACTCTGTAGCTGTTGATTATTTTTTTAAGCGGTAAAAGTTTGTTTATAGTCGGTGTGCTAACTAGCTCACTAGCATCATAGCAAGTTGTCCCCGTCTTGTTTGGTTGTAACTTGGCATTGAACGCACCTCATAGCTACCGTCTTTGTCATGTAACTAGTGTTGTTGATTTCAAAAGGAAAATTCCCATGACAAACCCACAAGTATTTTGCCAGTGGGTAAAACCTGTCAGACGTGTGCTGCTAACTTATATGTCAAAGTCAAACATTTGTGTTATGTTTCAGGCCTCAGAATCTAAGCGAGAACAATTTAGAAGATATCTTGAAAAATCTGGCGTCCTTGACACTATAACAAGCGGTAGGTATACAAGCAATTCAAATACCTCATATAGCATGCACATTTGCATCCAATGCATGGTGTTAAACACTTCCATTCACTTACTTTTCACCTATGTCCCTGCTGTGCTGATGCATCACCATTTCGTTTTTCTTTTGCAGTTTTAGTGGCACTTTATGAAGAGACTGATAAACCTAACAATGCTCTGGAGTATCCTTTTTTGTGTATGCAGCTTTATAGAACTTTTGGTGGTAATAAACAGTTGTTGATGTCCTTTAAATTATGAGCAGGGACCTCAGTCTGTGAGACTCCTTAGTTTGTCCTCAGCTCTCCACCATGTAAAATAGTTTCATTTCTGTGACTTATTTATCCACTCATCTACTGTATATAATTTTTGTGTATAACGTTTGTTTTTGTATAGGGATGGGTATCCAATCATCAGTAGGTCGATGGTTTGATCCTCGGCTTCCCCAAGTCTGCATGTCGAAGTGTCCTTGGTGTGTGAATGTGTGAATGAATTTCTGTTTCTGGTGAGCAGCTGGCACCTTAGTCTCCGCTCATCAGTGTGTGGATATGGACCATTTACCATTTTGTGAGTAGCATAAAGGGAACTACAACCTATTCTTGTTGTACAGCCCTGTGTTGTAAAATGATAAAAAAAAAATACATCTACCATATACCTTGAATTCCTGGAAAGGTTTACAGCATTCTTACAGATTTGTGGCCTGTGTGAGATTTCCCCCCCCCCCCCGTGCTCTCATCTATCAAGAACAATTAATGTCATGAGGAAACAGATTAAACATTGATTTTAAAGTGTGAATGCTGAAACCCACTGCTTGGTAATTAAATGCAGCAAGGCTACGGTTTCATGTGTCAACCATGCTTTAGTTTGTTTGTTCACCTTGAATATTACAGTATATAGACAGTATATCGGGCAGAAGATTAGTAACGTTCAAATGAAGCTTTTCATTGAGCCGGAACAGTTGTTTTCTTGCATAAATGTCTGTGGGAAAACAAACTAAATCATCATTTTGCTTTACACGAATGGCTTAAGAAGGAAACAAGTCACTGGTGTTAGTGTCTTTACCCATCTTTGTTAAAAAAAATATTTCTGTAGACTGAATAATGAGAGCACATGTTGACCTTAACCACCTGCACAGTTTCATAAAGCTTCACCTCGGCGCGAGTGGCCCTGAGCCAGCAGACGTTGAGGCTCTTCGCATGGAGCTGGCTGATCTACAACAGAAATGCAACCTGCTCGTGGAGGAGAACAAAGAGCTGAAAAACAGGGTGAGATGCTGTTAAAAAAATTCTGTCTAAATATACAGGTAAGCAGCGGTGCCTGTGTTTAAGACTGTCGCTCCTGCTGTAACCTCTAAACTCTGCTTTAATATCATTTTCCAGCTGATGCAGTACGAACCATCACCTGAGGATGAAGCAGCAGAGTAGAAACACGGAGTTTGTCATTTCTGTCTGGGGTAAAAAAAGAAAAGAAAAACATTAAATAATAGCCTTTTTTGAATATTATTTAAAATGTTTATTACATAATATTGTACAGTGAACACAAAATCACTGCTATTTGTTATATAACAACAAGCAACTTTTTTGCTTTGTCATAAATAAAATTTTTTTTCATCATTTGGCATCAGTTATTCTTTGATGTCCTAAATTAACAATTGGTCTTCTGTTTTCAAACAAGAGATTCTGCAAACATATTCAGCCACTCATCTAAATCTTTAGAATGGTCTTTCAAAGACATTTAAATTGATATCGACTGCAGTAATAAGTATCAAGTAAAAAATAAATTTCATACAAAAGCAGCGTTGCTGCTCGTTATAGTCTGATAGATGACAGCATATTGAAGTTTTTATTCATGTCACCATACTAATTCAAAGATATTTAGCAGTTATTTTCCACAGCTGCATCCAGAACTGGGTATCTTTATGTTAAATGTTCTTGCTAAAGACCTCTCTGACATGTTGGAACGGGGTGAATTAATTCAGACAGCGTCACAGATTTAAAAGTATCCAGTTGCATAACAGCACTATGTGACCTGAAACAACATTATAGATTTGTGGGTTTGTTTTCCATTCCCCACAAATCATTCAGCTGTTGCATACGGCCAAATCATTAAATGTCTGTCTGAATGTCTGTAATGTAAGGAACCAAAACCAAAAGTCCATTGTGGTCTGATCACCTGTTAAAATCTGAAGAGTAGATGTTAGATTGCATATTGTCTATATGCTTCATAAGTTCTTTTCAAATATGATTGGAAAAAGGCTCTTTTTTTGTGTCAGGAGCATAATATCCTTTGCATTGGGTAGCAAAGGTTTTTTGTGTTTGTGTTTTAATGTCTTTTAAAGAACTTTTATATGTGCAGTAATATAGTGTCCATATAACTTGAAACCAAACATGGCTGAATTTCTTTTGCCATGTTGGCGAGCACACAGTCTGGTGCTTATATCTGCAGATCAGTTGGAGCTCGTCTGCTGCTGCCGCCACTACTCGCCGCTGACACCCGGCGGTTTGGAGAGGAGGCAGTGGGGCTGTTGCTCTCACGGCTGTGTCGCGATACAGAGCTCAGCTCCCCTGCGGAGTCTGGGCTCTGGGACCTGCTCGACCTCTTAACGTCTGATTTACAGAGCATCCTCGGTCGGGGGCCGACACAGCTGCTACGTTGCTTCATGCTGTTGTTCCCGTGGTAGGAATCTCCGCTGTCTGAGCCGTTCCCCTCTACCAGGGTGGAGCAATGCCACGGTGGACTGACTCTCCGTGACTTCCTTGCAATGCCTGATAGTGTTGTGCAGGAGGAGGTGTCTGCTACAGGGAGGGTGGGGTACTCAGAACTCGCACACTCCCTGTCCTCATGATGGGGCGAAGTTTGTTCTTCTGGCTCATCCTGTTTGTCCGCAGGAGGAGAACGCGTCTCGCTGCTGGTGTTGTTGGAGTTGCTGTTCTGCTCTGTGGGGCTCGGCACTCCCTCTTTGCTGTCCTTGTGGCTGTCTGGCTTTGCACCAGGGTCCCCTTGTATTGGGACGAAGGCAGAGGAGGCATTAAGAAGAGGGTAGTTAGGTCCGTTGCCCTGCTTCTCCAACAGCAATGTGTATCCACATGGTGCTGTGGGAATAGTAGTCTTGCGCCCCACAGATGTGCCCATGCAAACCTGATGCACAACTGAGTTCTTTTTTGACTTGTTGACGTAATAATCATCCAGGTCGTCCTTCAGATGTGGGTAGTAGTCCAGGATGCCCTTCTTTAGCCTCTTGAATCCCAGGTGTATGATCTCAAGAAGGCTGAGAAAAAGGGAGATGGAGGCAATACCTTGCATGAACACCATGAAAACAGTTTTCTCCGTGGGCCTGGAGACAAAGCAGTCCACCACATTTGGGCACGGCTCCCTTTCACACTTGTAAAGAGGGCTGAGGCGGTGTCCATAGAGAATGAACTGACCCATCATGAAGCTGACCTCCACCAATGAGCGAGTAACAATGTGGGCCACGTAAGTACACAACAGAGAACCCCTCAGCGGTGCTTTGTTGAGCTTCCCCTGCTCCAGCTGCCTCATCTCCTTTTCAATCCTCCTCCGCACCTCCACCAACTCCGCGTCCACCGCCTCCAGCTCCCGACGGAGAGCCACCTTCTTGCAGTGGCGCTCCTTCTCCAGAGCTCGCAGCTGGTAGATGGCGTGACCCATGTAGACAAGGGAGGGAGAGGACACAAAAATCACTTGAAGCACCCAATAGCGTATGAGGGAGATGGGGAAGGCCTCGTCGTAGCAGACGTTGCGGCAGCCGGGCTGCTCGGTGTTGCAGATGAAGTCTGACTGTTCGTCATTCCACACATCCTCTGCTGCGACGCCCAGCACCAACATGCGGAATATGAACAGGATGGTCAGCCAGATCTTGCCAACCATGGTGGAGTGGATATGCACCTCCTCCAAGATCCCTCCAAGGAAGTTCCAGTCCCCCATTTTTTACATTAGCAGTGCTATAACCAATGAGGACAGAGAGATTGTTAATAATAATAATATAATAATAATAATATAATAATAATACTGATAATACTGGACTTTTGTGAGTATATTTAAACACATAACTTAGACACATGTTATTAATTCACGAATAAAATAGTACAATATAGTCTAGAAGTCAGTGAAATGTCAGTTGGAAGTATGATCATGAAAGTTTGTACTGCTTTCTATGCTTTGAATCTGTGTGTCAAACATGAAAAGAAATGACCTCAAGGTGCTTAATAAGTTTTGTAGCCCGAACAATACTGACATTTTAGGAGATTTTTAAACAATCTGGTACAAATAATTTAAAAGGAAAAACAATCACATAACATAAATCTTGAAACAGAGCCCGAGATTTGTTCAGTTCAACTCGTCAGTGCTCTCTAATGGACAAAGGATGTAACCTCACTTGTTTCTACCCCAGATCTAGTTTGGCATTTCTGTACTGCAATTTCTTGTTACTTTTTTGTCAACATGTAAACTAATACTGAAATACCGGCCTGATTTTTCTTTTGTTATCACATTTCTATGCAAATAAGCAGAGGAAACAGGTGGCAGGTAATACTAAAAGAAACATAGGTCTGAGAACCAGCGCTGGAATGTATTCAATTACTGTACTTACATGATGTTTGACCTGCTTTAATTTAGTATTTTTAAAACATCACTATATTTCAGAGGAAACTTTTGTACTTTTTAATGTACTTAGTTTGTTTGACAGTTTCAGCTACTTTTCAGATGAAGATTTTATACAGTAAATCATTTTATTTAAATATTACAATGCTATGATGCATCAAACTACCAATATTTGCACAGTATATAAAGAAGTTAAAACAAGCTTCCAATTTGACAAACTACAACATCAAAGTGGCCTAACATGCTTATATCTAATTACACACATTACAGCTTGATGAGTACTTTTACTCCTTATACTTTAAGTTTATTTTTCTTACTATACTTTAAAAAATACTTCTTCCACCACTGCTGAGTTTTCAAATATACAACCAGTTTACCCAGTTACAACGGAGCACTCCCCCATTAGACACTAGTTAAAGCCATGAAGTACTAATCTGAAAGTATTACATGATTAAATTAGCCATTTTAATTTGATAAGTGAAGTTAAGACAATTAGCAGCATCTTAATCAAACACCTTCAGATATATTGGTAAAAGTTGGTAATCATTAGACATAATTAATCACCTCAAATACAAATCAATAATTGTGTGATGTTATTCATAAGTGAGTTACTCAAAGGTAAAAAATAGGGGATAATATTGTACTAAATAAAGCTGATATATTTGGCTCACTGTGAAGTTCCTGCAAAACGGATGACTTCCATTAAAAGAATATATATATACATTTATTTTAAAATTAGTGAACTTACCTCTCATCTTGCATATAAAATGTAACAATAAAGATCTTTTGCAAGAATGCCGTTGAGCACAATCCTACGAGCACATCTTTTTATCTTCTTTGACCTTGTTTTAAAAAAAACTATTTAAATGAAAATATTAAAAAATATATAACTGGGAGACTTTAGTCTCAACTGTTAGTGAAAACTGGACAAAAACAAATGATCCCTGCTGGCTCTAGTAGTCCACAACTTATAGCCTGTGAAAGACTAAAACAGTCAATACTGTTGCAGTGATCTGTGCCATTCACCTCGCAGCAGTGTAAATGGACAGACTGCCAGTTCCTGCGAGTCATTAGAGGTGAAATGTGTTGCAAATATTCAATTATTTGACGCACGCTGCCGGTTGAACTCAACGGAACATGAAACGGTTTGTTCCTCTGAGTTCACACAGAACAGATGTGGTGCACTGGGTTGGCCCCTTAGATGGGAAGCTGACATCTGAGAGTGCCTTGAACGTGGATTATAATCCATACAATAATCTTAAAAAAAGTGGACTGAAAGATCGGTCAAAATAAATATTTCAGCCACAACAAACTACTGAGCTTTGTGATGAAGCGCTGTCAATTCACTGGTCTGTTATCACGAAAAATGTATCCGCTCTTATTTTCAGTAAATCGTTTCATTTTTCTTTTTGCAAATATTCATCAGCTTTTCAGCTGTGAAGATTTGAAGCTCGTCTTTGTCTTACATGATAGTAAATAGACTTTAGATTAGTAAATGATTTTGTCTGATAAATAAAGCTATCTGTGTCCAGACAGGCATTTTCCACAATTCTGACATTTTACAGACCAGTCAATTTAGAAAATTCACAATTTCAAATTATTGGTTTTGCCTGCCCAGCATCCCAAAAAACAAAATATATTAAATTAAATTGAATTTATTTTAAAAGCTGAGACCATTACTTTATTGACTATCAAAATACTTGATTAGTTTTCTATAGATCCAATTGATCAAACTTTGCAGCTCTAGTTTCAGCTTATCCACACAGCTACATCCTGAAGAGTTCTGTCATAACTTTAATCTGCAGTTCCAACACCAGACATGGTTTGTTTCCAAACCTCCAGGTCACATTGGGAGCTTCATTAAACTTCACTGATAACCTGTCATTTCCTCCAATTCCTTTTAACCAAGCTAACCAGACCAACAGGACATCTTCTATCTTGAAATATCACCCAGAACACTGAACCATGTTGATCCTGCAGTTTGAGAGACCAGCTCTAGCTTCATGAACCACTACGAGTCTAGTGGCAGGTGTTGTACTAAGATGGTCTCACAAGCTGGTCTGTTATATTTAAAGTAAGGGATTGTTCAAATGAAATTAAAAAAATAACATTTAAGGGTGCAACTAAAGATTTTCATTATTCACTAATCAACTGGAAATATTTGATTAATCGTTTTTGAAAAATATGGAAATCGTGGCATCACAATTTCTCTGAGCCCAAGTTGAAATCTTGACAGATAATAGATGTTCAACAGCTTTGAAAGAAATAAGAGGTTTATCAGTTTGTTTATCTTCAGGAGGTGACCGTACTGGTGAAAAGGGATCAGGGGTTTTTAGAGATGTCAGGCACCACAGGCAACTCCTCCGTCACTAGTCAGCCTCCATCTGTAGGTCATCTGCACGCCTGGAGGGATCATAGCTCAGTCATGTACATATAATCACAACAGTATTGTGTTGGCTCTGTCTGTCCTGTACCTCACTGTGCTGACACCAGCTACTCTTGACAACTCACATCAAGCCCCACATGGCAATCGTACTTGTTTAATCAATGTTATTTTCTTTCAACGCGGAGATCAATGAGACATGTCCGATTTCATACATGGCTGCTTCTTCACTGTGAATCTAAATTTAAAGTTCTTCCTCGCAGCTACTGATCCATTAAAAGGAAATCAATGACCATGGCTGGACTGACAGACGGCACCGGTCTGTTTTCCACACAGATGACTGCAGACTGGTTCCACTTTTTACTTTAAATATTCAGACACCTACTGGGACATCAGTCTTTGAAAAAAAAGGGGGGGGGGGGGACTCTGAATTACTTCTCCTGAAGTTTCCTCCATTCTGGCTCTTTACATTCTATTGCTAATTTAAATATCTTCATTTAGAGCTTGTAGGAGGTGTTATTGTGGGCCTGTAAAGCTGTTAAGTTTACACACTTAAGTTGCACACTGTTTCCTTATACTGAACGTTATCCGTTTATTACTCAAAATAACAGTTTCTTCCTACTAAAGATAGAAGATTAGGAGAATAATACATGCAGCGACAAGATCCATTCTGAAAAACCATCAACACAGTCGCAGAAACATCAATAAGAGACTTCTGTTCCTCCTTTCAGGACCGAAATTTGGAGAAATCTTACAGAAAACACCACAAAATTTTAAACTTATTCATGTACATTTTAAACCGTTTGTGGTTAAAGTCACTGGTCAACATATTTTTTAACACTTCAAGAACCGTAGCAGCGTTTCTGCGCATTTTAGCCCCCATACTCATATTTCACACTGCTGCAGATCATTTTTCCAACGCAGACTATAAAATATCTTTCTTCAAGGAAGCCACAGACTCTAATTTTCTGAAAATCATTGATTTGTGATTACTTAAAACTTGAACATCAAGTCTACTATTATTTGTCTCAGTCAAGTTATTGTTGCAGGGTAATGCGGTGCACTTTAACTTACTCTGCAACTTTGACAATATACGCTGATGATGGTCTCATAGTAAAATAAATGAACACCAGTGGCTGAAAGAAGGTAAGAAAACAAGACAAATCTACATTCCAGCCATGGAAAATAGCAGTTATGTGTAAAGTATGTGATTTGTTGTCATAAAAACACCCAGAAACGCTGGTTTGGTTCGTTCCTCTTAAAATACTGAATGTTCCTTTTTCTTTTGCAAAAAAAAAAAACAAAAAAAAAACAAAACAGGTGCATAGGGATTAGAAAACAAAACTATCAGTAACTGTATATAAAAAAAGACAATTATTCCTGGCCGACTACCACCGAACACACAAATCTGGAAATCGTACATTTTATAAAACCGAAGGACCAGCATTGTTCTTAAAATGGAGCTGCAAAAACAAGCTTTCTACAAATGGTTCAGTGGACATTACATTCATGTCAAAACAAACAAATCTTTTCTTGACAAATAACCATCTCTGGTCCATCTGACAAAATGACGGATAGAACGAGGGGAGTGGGTTCAGACAATTTTCTAGCGACCTCCGGACTTGCGACCAGCCCAGGATCGGGACCGAGAACGTGAACGGGAGCGTGATCTTGATACGGACCGAGACCTGGAGCGGGATGGGGAGTGTGTCCGTCGCACCTCTTCCTCGGCGTAATGGGAAGTCGATGCTGGGTTGACGTTTTCTCGTGGAGATGCAGATTTGGAGCGTGATCGGGATCTCCCTCTGGACTCTCTCCGAGGCCTCTGCCTGTATCTGAAGACCATTTACACTCAAGTTTTTCCTACAACACTTATTTACTTAACTTTAATAACTTAATTTGACTGCGTTTATGCTTTCATTACAATAAATTACCCAAAACATTCTGTGTATTTGTTCATTAGAGAGAGAGAGTAACAGATGCAAACTAAAACCTCTAAACCATGTCAAAGAGAAGTCGTACCTGTCATCCTCGCGGCTCCTGCTTCTTCCTCTTCCACACATCCGTCCACGAGAGCTGAAGAAAAAACAAAAAAAAAAACAAATGACAAAACAAAAATGATTTTCCTTTTCTAAGAAACTTTTAAATACAACAACTGTGAGGAGTCAGTCTGCATAAAGAAGTTACTTAAAGAAGAACTCACCCTCGAGGACTCTCAGATCGTCTGCGATGACGGTCATAAGAAGGGCTGCGTGATCGGTATCTGTCGTAGCTGCGGCTGCGGGAACGTCTGCGCCGGCCATCTCGATCGTGGTCATCGTATCGAGAGGATCTGCTTGGAGAACGCCTTTCCTTTGTTTTCATCTGATTCGGTGCTGATGTAAATAAACAGTGGTGAGAAAGGAGTTAGCCCAGACTGGGAAAATAGAAAGCACAAAACATTCCCACAAGTAGCAGTTTGTGTGGAATACTAGTAAGAGCTCCTCAGCAAGATCTTTATTTTTAGATGCTCAGGGGGACTGCAAGACCTTGACTCTGAGATCATTGGTGTGTGTAAAAATAATTGCTTTCTGCCCCATGAGCCCTACAGAGTAAATCAGGGTGCTCCTCTATACTGAGCATTACAGTAGATGTGAACCAGTTAACACTTTCACAACCGGTTCAATTGGCTGCACAATGTTGTTATCAGGAAGTGCATGCACTCAATATATGCATTAGAAGACAAAATATACAGAGTCTCAGAGCGCACAAGCTGATTCTGCGTCAGACAATTTGTTTACTCATATCAGAGCACATGTGGAACTAAAAATCCACTCTTTACTGCTAGTATGAATGGAGCCTTTGATAATGTTATTAGTTACCAAGCAAAACTAAGAAGGTCCAGGGTTCAGGTTTTGAAAATGTTACAGGCAAGTATTTTGCCTTTGACCAGCAAACCCCGTTGAATCATTTTGTTCAGTTTTGCTACCACGGCACTTTGCAGTTTAATCCAATGTCATTCTTCATTCTAATTCAATTATCACCATCCTCCATTTCACAGCTTAATCTGAGCATAAGAAATACTTGTTGACAGACTCAGTATTTGGTTGCTTGCAAACAAAAGTTGAACACTCACTCTTTCTGTCACCCTGGGCAAACTGGATTTCAATCTGCCGGCCACAGACCCACTTCCTGTCCAGGCTGTGAAGAGCATCCTCTGCATCGCGCACATCCTCGAATATGCTGGGTGGTTAAGGGTTTTGTTTGCTCGCATTTTTTGGTTAAAGACCACACAAATCCAAATAAATGTTTTCATTTCCTCTTGGAAAGGTGAAGTCAGCAAGGGAAAATAAAAAGAACCACTTACATAAAATCTTAAAAACATCAATTCCATTTTTCTTCAAGATCTCATCAAGATATTTTGCACTTTCTGTTAGTAAGAGGGATGCAGGATATTCAAACATTTTCTTTAATTTGTGTGGCCTGGTTTATAAAAAGGTAGATCAGTTTAAAATGAACACAATATATATGATATTATGATTATATATTACTTAACTAGCAAATAAAAAAAAAAAAAAAAAAAACACAACACAGGCTCAGTTGATTTTTGTAGAGATAAAAGATGAAGCAAGCTTTTCGAACAAATACTTGTCCGGGGGATCAGGATGACAAATATAAACAAATCAAATACATTTATAGTTGATTAAGTTGCTTTGAGAAAAAATTAAAATGGCATTGTTATCACAGGGAAAGCTGATTTTGTCGTCATGTCAAATTTGTGGATTTGTCTAGGGAGGATACAAAATAATTCAGACTTGTTACCTTTGCCCATGCTTGACTTTGAACTTCATCTTGATCTTTACACTCTTTTATCGACTCCCACAGAGACTTGGGTTTCCTGCTTGCCTTTTCCTCTTAAACCTCTTTTCTTTTCCCAATTCTTTGCCGCCATTTCCAAGATTTGTCTCCGTTCCCTTTTCCTCTTCATGCTTTACTTTTCTCTTTTCAACCTTTTCCCTCCCTCTGATCCTGAAGGTCTGTGTGACTTGTCTTTACAGCTACTCTATACGGGTCTTTGTTACTCTTTGTGGCCGGTTCCACAACTGGATGCTTTTACATTTTCTGAAGCAATAACAGAGAAATATGTGTGTTAGATATTCAATCAGATTATGTGCAATAAAAAGAAATGTTATAAATGCATTATCTTCTCTGCTGAAAAAGGAAATTAAAATTGGTTAGCAAGAACACAAACACAGTTAAAAAACTCATTGGGAAAGGATATTGAATGTATGCAAATCCTCTTGGTTGACGTGTATAGAAGTCAAGTGGGATGTAGACATCTACTATCGGCCCATAGCGGCCAAACTCACGCCGCAAATCCTCAGGCCTGAACACCGTAAATACAAGTATGACTTAACTGACCATCATGGGCAACTCTACCTACATCATTAACCAGTAACAACAGCTGGGAGAGCAGTTGATGAGAGGGCTTATAAAAAAGATTTATATAAAAAAAAATAAAAAGTGTACAGTTCTCCCCAAAACACAATAACGTGTTTTACCTCTTACCTGGCGATCCGACAACCTGTCCACACATGGTATCCATGTTATTTGTTTACATTGTTACATGTTATAAGTTTTACTGTTGCTAAAGACACATTTTTCATTCTAAAGGTTGTATTTTGTTCTGCAACAATGTTTTGGGGTAAAGTGACACTTTAGGATACGTACACTAGTTTGTAAACATGCAATTCAATGTAAAAAAAACCCAAACAAGTCTCACTGTTGCTCCATTCAGGTTAGATCAAGTACAACCTTTTTCAGCAAATAAATACTAGTTATGTCTGAAGTGCATGGGTGAATGTTACCACGATAAAGATAAACGGATAGATTAAGATAAGCACTAACATGCTTTTTTCAAACATTCATATACACACTGCATTAGTCAGCATCAGGCAGTAATTGATCATATGCAATCAGATAACAAAAAAGTAACTGTTGTCGGCTGTCATATAAATGACTCTTGACTTTTACAGTAAGTTACTGGTTGTGTGTTTTGATGATGTGCAGATGAAAACTGTTGGTAAAGGTAGCAAACTGCACATATTCTGAATTACAATACTGTATATAATTACTTAGAATTATGTAATTTGTGTGTCCTTGTGCTTTGAGCATTTTAAAGTCAGTAGCATTACTGTTGGTTTTACTGAACACCAGAAACTGGACAGAAAAAGGGCAACAATTTTCAGCCAAAAGCACAGATGCATCACCTTTTTTTTTTTAAACTGTTGAATGACAATGGACTACCATACTAAGTTTAACATTACATTAATAAACTTGTATACGCACAAGTAATGTTTTAATTGCTTTACACTATATGTTAACATTTAACAGATATTAAAACTAACCGATTTAAAAGTTTTTCTAAGGTTACACATTTATTAAATCCACACATGAACATTTAACTGTAAGATTACTATAACATTGTAAGAGTTACTTAATTAAATAAATGGCTAATAAGGTCATGTAACTGTTATTTCAGCTAGAAACTTCATTCAAACCTTGAAATGTTCTACATCTTTCAGTGCAATTTAAGGTTTTAATCTTATTCATATTTAGAACATCTCCTGTGTTTCCAAGTCTTCATAGTCCTTCAGCTACTTCATGCCATTAAAGCCAGCAATGCAGTTTAGCGTCAGCTTTTCAACAATTCTTTAAATATTCTACATCTTTCATACTTCAAACTTTTCAACTTTTCAGTTTAGCGTAAGTCTTTCAGCTTTCACGCCACAATGTCTTTAGAAATTGCTTTTCTAGTTACAGTATAAGGTTGTAACGTTAATGTATAATGTATAAGAGTTAACGTTACCCAATTAAATAAAAACAGATAATTAAAATTAACAACAGTCAACTGAAATAACGGTTAGGCTAACCTGCTAACGGTAGGTTTTTTTAAAAAAATAGTCCAAACAAATAAAATCTGGATTTTTCACAAGTTAAACGTATTTTACCTGCAAATTCACCAAAAATATTTAGTTAAACGTGTCGTTGTTAATGTTAATTCTAAACATGAAAGCGTGCACGGTCAACGTGCAAACAAAGAAACGTTGCTAAAGCACGTTAAGGTTTAACAAAGACACATTACTGTTAAACTTGTTTGTTTGACCTAGAAGTGTAATGTGCTGCTGTTTATAAATATTCCTCTTAGTAAGCGCCTCAGCACGCCGATTTTAACGTAACTTGAGCCTCCGACGAGGATGCTAACATTAGCTGCTAGCTAAGCTACATCAGCTAGCTGCCGTTGACATGAGTTAGTTAGCGTTAGTGAATGAGCTTCGTATCTGGTTGTGGTCTGAATGTGGACTCACCTTGACTCATCCGAGATGTTTCTGACAAACAAAGATGTATTTGGAGGTCTCATGTGTCTGGCCATTAAGTTACACAGACACACACAGCAGAAGAAATGTTTTGGGAACGGAAAATCTGCAGCGAAAATATTTGTAGCGCATGCGCACTTTCAAGGCGCCTTCTGTTCTTCCTCTCAAACAGTAATCAGGAGATAAAAACCCACAGCGCCCCCTGCAGTGTGGACTTTTCACCTCCTGCAGCTGTGGCAAAAACAGTGTACTGAATGAAAACTTGTTGGTTTATTTCATCATTCAGATTTATTCACAATAGTATTAAGCAGTTTTTTTTTCATTGTATTATTTCCAGGTGGCCTCCTCCTTGAAGCTGAGCTACTGTAGCTGCCAGGTGTTGATCAGATTCGTTTGCTTCTGCTGATGAAAGTCACAGAGCCAGAAGTGAAAGTCTGGAAAAGTGAGAAAGCATAGACAATTTAAAAAACTCACAGTCTACGTTTCTTTCTAACACTGGAATACTCACATTAACAGCAGTTTTTCTGGTAAATAATTAAAGCCACTGACCTCCACCATGTCGTCCCCTTGGATCTCTCGGACAGAGGTGAATTTGTCAGTCTCAGCAATCAGTTTGCCATTCTCCTCTCTGACAGTGCACTGGTCAAAACCCAAAACTTTTTGTGTCATAACTTCCTTTGTTAGCCAAGAAAAAAGCATGCCTCCCATGCATAAATCAAATTATTACAAATTAAAAATGCAAAATAAACTTCCAGAGGTTTAAGGCACAAAAGACACCAATCTCTTCTACTATATTGATAGTGAACTTAGGAGCAAGACAGATATCGTCATGTTTCAATATTTCCTTTTGTTTATTGTTTCTTTCTCTGCATCTTTTACAGCATTTGTTTAAAAATTGCACAAAAATATTCCTGTAGCCTCACTGACATGGAGACACTTTTTATGGTAAAATGTTGGCATCATCAGCTCAAATAAAAGTATCAAGTCTTCTCTTCTGTGCTCATAATATGCGTAAAGTGTTTGAGTCTTACCTTAAACTTCCTGCCATCCACAGAAGTCATCTCTGACTCCTTTCCGATGCTGAATGAGTGGACTTTAGTGCACATGGGAGTCTTCATTGTGTAGGTGAAGTCTTTGCCGTTCTGCTCGATCACTAGCACCGGTTTGACTTCCTTTCGCATTTTGACAACCATTTGAGGTGCACCTTGAATGATTTTTTTTTTTAAAAACACGATAGATGCATACATGGGCAAATAAATCTTTTAAACATGAAAATGTTCTTACCTACTACTTTTAGGAACTCCTCAAGGTTTTCCTCAGAATAAACTTTCCATGTGCCATTGAAGTCCATGTCTGCTGGTCGTGTTGCTTGCCCGAGGATGTTTGTTGTTCTTGACATAATCCCATCACCCACTCTGCTGGTTGGCAAGTTGGGGACTTCAAACTCCCTGTTATTTGGACTGGGATTTCCAGCAAGAGCCACGATAGGTTGAACTATCTGTTAGTCCACATTTAGAAGCTGTGGTGTAACATCTTTACAGAATGCAACAACAGATGTTAAGTAATGTATATGGGGTTCGAATCCACTGTGAGACACCATTGTGTCCCTGAGCAAGACACTTAACCCCTAGTTGCTCCACCAGCATCAGCTAAATGAATAAATGTAAATGTATATAGATAAAATATGGCACCAGATATGAGTAAGGGGGGGGGGGGGGCATATGAAGGTGTTTGCCTGGATAGACCAAATCAAACATGTTTCTTCTTCCAATATATTCAACAAAATTGCTGCATCTTGACACTGAACACAGGCAATTAACCTTTATTTCAGACAGAAATGGAGACTTTCCTTCATTTGACAAATATTTATGACTTGAGGACATTTTCTTTTTCAAAATATAAAACAATACATCGACTGCCACACACACACACACACACACACACACACAGAAAGCATAACACATTTTAAGGCATACATGTGGAGGCAGTGGAAGCTCAGGCTGCAGATATGAAAAATGTTTTACCTCTTTAACCTCCTAATAAAAGTGTCCAAGCATGCTCAGTTAGCAGGAACAGATATGTAGAATTTCGTTACAAAGTCGACAAACGTAATCACTGCTTTAATCTTAGTGAAGCTCTTAGAAGTCAAAACACTTAAGCTTACAAAACAGTAACATCTTAAATAGATATAGGTGGAACAGGTTTTGGACAGAAACACTTATTTATGTGTGCAGAGGAATCTGTCAGTACTGTGTCCCTGAGAAAACATTGATCACTCATGGAGCGCTGTTAGTGCTAAGCTTGTTCACATACCTCGGTCAAACAATATTTGCAATTTATTCTTCACTTGTAAGTCATTTTAACACCAGATTTGTTACTTCAGTTTCACCAGGACACTTAACTGAGCAAAACACATTTTCAATCACTGGAAATTATACCCTCTGGTCGTGTTTTTATACATATAGGATAGTATGACTGGATTGATAACAGATACCAATATTGATATTTGAGTTTAAAATGTTTTGATAATGGCATCACCTGCTCAAATGAGTTCTTAAAGAATTTTGACCAGGATATGTAAAGAGTGAGACCCTTTTCACAGTTAATAAAAGGACCAAAGGCACCAGTTTAATTTAAAGTTGCTTGTCGGACCAAATAGTTTCAGAAACCCCCTGTACACACCTTTACGACATCATATGCTAAGAAACCCACATTCATAGCCACTTGAGGTGAGAAGGAAAGCTGGGTTTGAACTCCTCTCTCAAGCTCTCTTTAATTAATTTGGTACTCAACAATTCTGTTAATTTTCATGTGAATAACCGACCCCAACACTATGCATGTCTTCCAGGAGCGACTGTCTGAAACTGTGTGCTGTTAGCACAACATTCAAACGATATCTGTCACTGTTGACGTTTGGCACAATACAGGCTGTAATAAAATCCTGAAAAAGCAAATGGTCAGTAGTGCATGCTTTGGTAATGTGTTACATGATAAAAATCCTTATGAACTCATGGATTTTTTCTTTTTGCATAATCTCATCTCACAAATACAGAACATGGAAAAGAATAACACTATCAACTATTTTAAATTAATAAATGTCAAGCAGGGATCTCCACTCTTTGAATACAACAGATTACACAAGGAGATTGTAAACTGTAAATATGAGAGATATCATGAGCCATCCTCTTCCTCGTCCTTGTTGGGACCGGGGTCACTAAGGCAGCGTGACAGTTTTATTTGCTCTTGCTCATCCTGATCGTCTGGCACTTTCGTCCTCAGCTGAGCGTCACCTTTGGCTCTCTGTGCGTTGCTCTGATTGGTCCTCTGGGGTGATTCGTTCAACAGGCTGACGGCATCAGGAGGGCAGGGATGTGGCTGAGCCGTCTGGCCTCGGGGGCTCTCACTGTTATCATAAGTGTAAACCTGGTGTTCTGGGATACAGAAACAGAGCAGCGATACATTAGTGCTTAAAGTTTTTCTAAAGCAGCTGCAAAATCATAAAAACATTACGGTAGTTTGGGCTTTGACGAGGGTTGTTTTTTTTTTAGGATGTTTAGGTAATCTAAGGGTAATTGTCTAATCCCTACGATCAAACCTTTTAGTAAAAAGTAAGTTTAGTTTATTTAATCAAAGCTTTATTATAGTTAGTTATTGTCAATTTATGGTTGAGAGAATATGATCCAGGTTCACATTAGAGCCAAATGGATACTGAATTTTTGAGGCCAATACTGACACTGGCAGTGGTAGAATGTAACATAGTACAGTAATATTATGATAAAGATTAAGCTACCCAGCAGTATATAAAGTAATTATAATTAGCTCTTCCGTTATTAGCTGCAACATTAAAGTGATCTTTCCACATAATGTATCACTAATTATAATCCAGTAATATAATATATATATATTCTGAGATTGACCATTCTGCATAATGACTCATTTTACTTTTGGTACTTTAAGTATATTTTGATTGAATACTTAGTAGGTATGTATAATCTTGTTATCGTTGTTACGTCATCACGCAAATCAGCTTTAAAATATTACTTTACATTTACATTTCTTTTACATTTTTATCCAAAACAACTTATTGCTATGTATGACATAGGTTGCACACCTCTGGAGCAACAAGGGGTTAAGTGTCTTTCTCAGGGACACATTGGTGTGTTACAGTGGGGAGTTGAACCTGGGTCTCTCACACCATGTCTTAAGGCGAGTGTCTCATCCATTGCGCCATCACCACCCAACTTTACACTTTTTATTGGTCCCTCCCTGCATTATGTTCAGACCCAAAATCCTGTTTTACCCAGAACTATGTAGAATTAAAGAAAGAAAATGATAAGATGAATTGTGTGTTTTACCGACCTGAGTCAAAGCAGACTTTTCTCACTGGCGCTGGTGCTTCTTTGCGGTTTGCAGGAACCGTGAGGTAGTGACTCATCTGCAAATGAGACACAAAAGGTTCGTCAGGATGGAACTTTGTTTCAGAGCTAAACATTTTAAGAATTTGCTTCACAGCATTCATTCTAACTATTTATGTGAGTATACAATCCTCTCTTTGAATATGCCTCTATACAAACACAGCCTGTCTGTCTCCTGCAACCAGAAGAAAAATCGTTCATGCTACTTTTATGTCAGTCTTAGACTTTGGTGATATTATCTATATGCGTGCTTCAGCTACCACATTAAAACAACTGGATGCTTTTTACCATTGTGCACTTAGATTTATCACCGGTGATAGTTATATACACATTACTTTTATCAATATCAACATGTTGGATGGGCCTCTCTGTATGTGTGACGTGAGCAACATGCTCTCTTGGTAATCTACATAGCACTTATTTTAAAACTACCTCCATATATATCAGCCTTAATGTCCACTTGAGTAACAAATACAAATACTAGGTTACAGACATGGATTACTTTAAATACGTCAGCAGTCTCCACAGAGTTGGGGAGGACTGCTTTCAATTCCTTCGCTACATATTTATGGAACAAACTGCCGACTAAACTCAAGTTAAACAGTCAATGTTTAACAAATTTAGAAATGTTATGCAGAATCATTATGATGTTGTATGCTATTTTATGCTAGTATGCTAGTTTAACTTGAATTGTACTTCTTGGTTTTATTTGTTTTAATACATTTTTGTATATTCACATTTGTTTGTCTACTGTACATGTTAACATGTTTACACAGGCCACAGCCTGTTTTTCCTGTTAAAATAAACTTAAATAAAATATCATCTGCTATGTATGTCTGTGTTCATATGTATACAAATATTAGGCAAAAACTTACCCTCCTCTGCATCTCCACCCTCTGCTTCCTGAAGCGAATTTCACTCATACTGTCCTCAAACGGGTCGATCATCAGGTCATGTCTGCTGTAAGAACGAAGCTGAGGACACAGGAGCAAAACTATGAACCGCAGCGTCAGAAACGCGTTAATTTGCAAAGGGCTTCTTAACCAACAAGCGACAGACTTTTCCGACAACTCATCAATCTGCCTGCAACACACCTCAGCTCAACAACACGATCAAACCCAAAGCAAACTGACTGCTACCAACACTCGTAGTTGTGTTACCAACCCGCTGTCTGGTCTTCTGCAGATGGCTTCGCAGGATCTTTCTGATCTCTTCCTCGCGACTTTTTGAGATGCTCGGGATTGCCCGTTGTCTGGCCGACCCTCTTGGCTGAATGTTTCTGTGGAGACACACGTAACATATCACTGCTATTTAAAACAACAAACTATTGTCTCAACAAATTCTATTAAACAGCCTTAAGAGAACTAAAAGGACAAAATGAGCATATATATTTCTGCAGTAGTTGATATACCAGAGGTTTACAACCTTTATTGGCTTGTGTTGCCTTATTTGAAAACTAATTCACAAGGAAAAGGAAAAAACATAGTAACGTCTGATAACACAAATATACAGTAGTTTTCTTCATCATCAATGTTTTTGGCATCTGTATTAATAACAAAATTAGAATCTGCATGTTGTTGTTGTTGCTCCTACAATGTCATTTTATTCTCTGCAGTAATTCTACAGCAGACTCTACTTTTGGCCTTCACATCTCCTGCTTGGTTCAGACCCTTTTTGAAGAGTTTTTTTTTTTGGATGTGCATGTGTTTATTCTCCATTGATAACCAGTAATCCACATTAATAACCTTCTATCCTGTGCTATATTTTAGAACAAAAATCTGAATATTTTGGTAGCATATAAAATAAAAGACATACATGAATGCTTGTGTTTTGTGATGTATTCCTGCTTCCCTACTGTGCAGACACTTTGCTGCTTGCTTACATTATTTTTCTGATATCCTTGTTCTTTTATGCTAAACGTTATGATCAGATGCAC